GTGAGCCCCTCCGGTGCGCGTGCAGCGAGCTGCCCGGGGCAGGACGGAGGCGTTCAGGCTGGGGCGACGGCCTGCGCGCGCTTTCCTTCGCCGTTTTGTCCCCGGCCAGCTTCTCAACCAGCAAGTAGCCCTGGGAGACCCCACGTCCATTCCCCAGCCTTGGGCTTTGGCGGTAACCAAGTAAACCCCCCAAACCGGAAAAAGCAAACAAACAAAAACACCCTCTTCCTCTAAGCCAGAGGACGGCGTCTTTGGAAAAAGTACAAGAGGGAGATAGAGCGAGCGAGTCGGGGCCAGGACACCCACATCTCTCGGGAAAGGCACTGCTCGCCCCCAACCGACAGTTCCTTTGATAACGGCCGCCCATCACCCCACGGCTGCTTCCTCTACAAGGTTGGGGGGCAGCAGGAAAGAGTCCGAGACTGGCTGGGGCTGCCCGACTATAGAAGGGAAAATTAGATATTAAACGGGCTCCTGGAATTGGCGAGCAAACGTCATTTATCACCTGGAAGTCACCTGCCTCCCTCCTGCCCATCGCCGGTGGGAGGAGTCCAGTAAGTGGAGAAGTAGTGTGATGAGTGGCTTCTGGGGAAGGGAGGCAGATGTCAAGGTCAGACAATCCCTATGGCCATCAGGACCACAGGGACACCCCAACATGCGGCTTTCTCCTTTCTGGGCACCCCAGGATCTGAGTCCAGGGGACCTCCTGCGGTGAGCGGAGAAATCTGAGCTTCTCCACAGGAGAATTTCCACCAGATGTGGAAGCAGAGAGGGACAGCTCCAGGGCTTCCTATGTGGTGGAGAGGATCCTGGGGAGGGGAGGTGGCAGGAGCAGATGAGCGGAAGGACTGGTGCCTGTGCATGCTGTGCTGAAACAAGGAGTGACTGGATGCAGAGCCAAATTGCAGCCTTGACCCCTAAGACATCAGGTGTGGCAGAAAGTCCTATCTTATGCTGAGCTTCCTCGCGAGAAGCATGTACAATTTGGGGGGTGATGTCCAGGCCCTAGAAAAGCCAGGCAAAGGTATTTGTCTCGGGTGGATTGAGGTCTGGGACACAGCCAGAGGTCCTGGAAAGCATCACATACAGACAAATCGTAGACAGGAGCAGAGACATTCAGGAGATATTAACGCGGGTTGGTGACTGATCTGGCGTCGCGGACGCATGAGAGGAAGGGGTCTAAATGCCTCCCAGATGCCGGGCCTGCTGTTTGCTCCTAGTTCCTACTCCCCCCCCGCCCCCCACTTCATTTTAATGGAACAAAGCTGCCCAGCAGAGCTTTCTGCAGTGACTGAAACGCTCTGCCCTGTGCCATCCAGCATGGGAGTGCCCCGCATCCTGTAGCTGCTGGCATGTGGCTGGCGTGACTGAGGAATGGCATTTAGAATGTTATTTAATTTTAATTGGTTTAATTTTTTTTTTTAGTGGAAGTACGGGGGGATTGAACCCAGGACCCTGTGCGTGCTAAGCACGCGCTCTACCACTGAGCTATGCCCTTCCCTACCTACTACTTTTCATTGGTTTAAAATGAAATAGCCACAGGTGGCTAGCAGCCACTGCAGTGGACAGGACAGGCCTAGAGTGTCATGTTTTGAGTCAACATCTGTCATTCTGTCTTGAGCTGTACTTGGGTGCATGTCTGTCTCCTTCGCTGGCCGGGAATGTTCCCGAGGTCAGGGAAGAGATTCAACCTACGGTTCAGTCACCGTCTCCCAAGCTCTTACATGATGCTGTGCAAACCACAGGCATTCCGTGAACTGCGACTGTGTTAAATTTTCTGCCGCAAGGGAATTCCTGAGCTACGGGGGCATTTGGACTTCTAATCCAAGCTCCTTCTAAGCTCCTTCTAATCCAGGGAGATCCTAAGCGTCTCACCTCTCGGAACAGCTGGTTACCCGATGATTAAGGAAGAGGGAAAACCACATTTATAAGACACTTTCGTCAGATGGCGCTGGGCTGAGTGTGGCATCAAGACAAAAGACAAACATATGGACCCCGAGCTCTGGGAGTTTACTTTTGGAACACAGGCACGTCATGGAGGTGGGTGCCCCACCCCCCAGTGACAGGACCGACTTTAAGCAGATACCAGCAAACTTGAACTTGTGGGTGCTTATCCTCTCCTTAAAGGTCCATTTACCACAGGTCCATCTGAGGGCTGGGGAGGGATAAAAATGATTCACGAGTGAGTGTTTGCAGACTTCCTGCCCTCCTCCAGACCCCGTAACTGCCCTCAGCCCTCCGTCGCCCCTCCCATCTGCTGTAAAGTGGGGGGTTCTTCTCTGTTGATGGGGAGGGTGGAGGAGAGGGGAGCTGAGGAACTGTAGGTCCTGGAGGGAGTGGGTGGGAGAAAAAGATGTTCATGGAGTTGCCGTGGAATTTGGCAAATGACTGTCTTTGTGGGGTTTGGGATAGGCAAGCCTGGAACTTGAGTCACGTTGGAACTGCCCTCAGACGCCTTGACTGCGGGACAGCCCGGGACTGGACCATGCGGGTCCAGAATCACGAGGGCACACATCACTGGCCGAGGAGTCCGGGGGGCCGCTTCCCGGACCTGCCTCGCTGAACACAGTGCGTTCTCCCGAGTCGCCTTTCTGGGGGCAAAACCTCCCCTCTTGCAGGGCACTTCATTTCACCAGAGATCACGAACGCGGGCTGGAGCCAAGCTCGGTGGGTGTTGGCCAATACTGCTTTTGCCCAAAAGTGAGTAAAATGATCATAATGTCATGGTGCTGCCTTTGCTGTGGGACTTGGTAAAGTGGCTCTGAAGGTATTTTTGGAGAAGGAAGGATTTCAATCTGGGTTTGCTTCGGCTCCAAAGAGGCGGTCCTAGAGGAGAACCACCAGCCTCCGCTGCCCTCCCTCAGTCTCCCTGGCGCCTCCGACTCTGCTGGGCCGCCCCACGCCCCACCCCCACTGCTGCCATCACCCCCACACCGGCTGCATCCTGGCTCCCACCTCCCCTGATCCAGGTACAGAAAATCCCTCTTCCAGACTTGGAAAGAGACATACCAACATGCAAAAATGTGCTTCCATTGTGGGTAGAGGACCGATTCTCAATGGGGAGGATTTCTGCCTCCCAGGGGACACGTGGCAAAGTCTGGAGAGCTTTTTTTGGTTGTTACAACTGGGGATGGGGGTGTGCTGACGGAACGTGGTGGGTGGAGTCCAGGGATGCTGGTAAACATCCTACAAAGCATAGGACAGCCCCCCGGGACAAAGACCAGTCCGGCCCCAAATGTCAGCCGTGCCGAGGCTGAGGAACCTGGGAGACAAAAGCATCCGAGACAGTGTTTGACTTCCTTTTGCTCTTATTTTTTCCACTTTCCTCAAATGACTACATACTACTTCGGAGTCAGGGAAAAAAAAAGTTTAAATAAAGGAAAACCTCTTTTCCTTTCAAGTGATGCAAGCTTGGCATTTAAAAGGAAAAAGAGAGTAATTATCAAGGCGCCAAGGAAAAACAGGAAATACAGAAATAGGGAATAAACAAATTAGGAGAATTCAATCTGACAAATATTTGCTAAGCAGCCGGCGACTTCAGGGTGCTGCAGGATGCTTGGCGGGTCCGAGAGGAACCAAGCCATGTCCCAGGCCCGGAGGAGGTCACGGGTCCGCCATGTAGAATCTTCCAGGCCAAGCAAAACTCTCTGTAGAGTGAGCCAATATGAAAAGTGCAAGCAAAAAAAAGGAGGGAGAGATTTGTTTTTGTGTTTCTTTTTCCAGTTGAGGGTCTGGGAAGCCTTCAGGAGGAATATGAGGCATGTGAGTTGGGTCTTAGGTAGGATTCTGATGTGATCTGAGGGCAACCGCCAAGTTCAAATCCAGCCCCCCCCCGCTTAAAAAACCGTGCGGTCTTAGGATAAGCAACTTCTCGACATCTCTGTTGCTTCACTGGTGAATTTGGTATCATAATGAATGAAAATTGTCTCCTTAAAGGATTCACTGTAGGTCCATCCGAGGCCTGTGATGGGGTAGAAACTAACGGGGAAGTGTTCTCAGAATGAACCCTAACCTATAGGGCTATAAGGACCAGCTGAAAAGATACAGGGAAACCCGGCACCTGCTGGGGGCAGTTGTTGGTCCCATTAGCCTGGCCATGAGTAGAAGAGAAGGAAGGATGCTCTTGGCCAGGGGAGGAGGATGCAGGCAGATGGACAGATGCCGAGAGCTTGGGGGTGTGGCTAGAACCTGGTACTCAAAGTATGGTGCCTTGGCAGGACCTGGGGGCTTTTTGAAAATGTCTGTCCCAGACGTGCTGAATCAGAATTTGCATTTGAACAAGATTCCCCAGGTGACTGCAGTTTAAGAAGCAGGGAGCTCGAACACAGGACAAGGGGTGCTGTGCAACGCAGCCCAAGGGTGGGAGCAGACTGGGGAGGACGGTGCCCCCCTGGGGAAGGAGCCTGGAGAGATGGGGTGGAGGTGGGGAGACGGAGGGAGGGATGATTTTAACACGTATTTTATAAATCACATTTACGTTTATATACTTTCTTTGGCAAGCGGGGGGGAGATAGTGGAAATTTTGAGTGAGGGCCTGGTCCAGGCAGTCTCTTGGTCATTGGGAAGGTCTCTGGGGCCCTGACATTGGGGATGGATGGTTGGTTGGTAGAGAACTAGGAGGTGGGGCCAAGCTAATCCACTGCAGGGATGGGGGCAGGGGGCAGGCGGAGAACTGAAGACCTGGCAGAGATGTGGGTCATGGCGGGGCAGGAGTTCCTGGGGAGGCCAGCCTTCCTGGCTCAGAGTCTCATCACGTCCCTGAGGGTCCATGGGGAGCGCCTTGGGCTCTGGTGTCCAGTCCTCTGCTTCCCCCTGGTTCTCTCGACTTGGCTTGGGGCTCCAGCAGGGAGGGCGACCAGAGCATCTTGTCTTCAGAGCTAAACAGCGAGCCCACTAACATGCAGAATAAAGAACAAAGCCAAAAAGTCGGCCCCGTGGAGCGGGCCGCACCCTCACCAGCCGCGAGGCTCAGAGCAGCGGGAGGTGGAGGAAGCCGGGCATGGCCGCCCAAGACACGTGAAAGGAGCATTCATCCGGGTAGATGACTACTGACAAAAACAGAAATCCGTCTCAGTGTTTCAGACATGAAAGAGGAACTAAAGAAAAATCCGACACAGGACCTCCTGAGACTGTTCCCTGGCTTTGACTCTCCGCCTCTCCCCAAGAAGCCTGGACCCCAGCCCTGGCCTGGCTGCAGGGCGGTGGGTGGTTCCTACTCCCCAGCCTCCGTTTTCTCACTATGCCGCTGCGAACTAAGTGTCCTATTTGGCCCACTAGGTGTTAAACTGTACGTCTTGGTGAACAAAATGGGTTGAGATTGCCCACAGTCGCCCTCTCTGGGATGGGGAGGTTTCCCAGCCACCAGAACAGCCAAGGCACACGTGGCTCGCGTGTGAACCCCACTGCTGGGGTTAGCCAGGGTGACACCTCCGGTGGGGAAAACCCGGTGGGTGGGATGGTCTGTCTGTTTTAAGCCCAGGCACTGCCCCCGAGGGGCTCACTGGGAACCCCCAGTGCATATCTCTTTCTAGGACAATCTCACTCCTGGACCAGAAGGGTCCTGTCCAGAGCTTTTGTGGACAGCACTTATGAACGAGAGACACGGGCGCTGGCTGAGATGAGGACGATCGCCCTCTGGAGCTGGGCGGACACCCTCCCTGCATCAGAGGTTCCAGGACGCTCCCTGGTGCGCCCCCTGGTGGCCAGACAGCAACCTGTTGGCACCTGCCTGCCCACAGTGCGGGCTGGGGCAGAGTCACTGGACAGTGACCCCTCAAATTCATTCGAGATTTTGCTCATTGTCCTAACAGGGCCGAGAAGTGTTCATCTGCAGAGCTCAGTGGGGAGGGGTCTCCTTTCTGGGATGGTGGGTGGAGGCTGGGCAGCGCCACACTCAGCAGCAGCCTGCAGCTCAGGGCTCCAATGCCAGCCTGGTGGGCTGAAACCCAGGGGCAGTGTGCGTGTGAGCCTACGTGAGTGTGCACACGCATGTGTGAGTGCATGGGAGTACATGTGTGCTGTGTGCAAGTGTGAACATGAGAGTGTGGGTCTGAGTGAGTTTGTAAGTGTACTGAGTGTCTTGAGGGCACATGGAGTGTATTTGCATATGACTGTGTGTGTTGAGTGCGCGAGAGTGGCTGTGTATGCGAGGGCATGTGTGTGTGTGAATCTGCACCAGGGTTTGTGAGCGTGCAGGTGTAAGAGTTTGTGAGTATATGTGAGTGTGTGTGTAGAGAGGGTGTGTGAAGGCTCTGTGTGTGTGTGTGTGTGTTTCCTTTCCCAAGAGCACCAGCGGCTGAAGCCCTTCCCGGCTTGTGGGTCTGGTGAACACTTGCTTCCCTCGGCGTTCTTCCAGCCCGTGTCCCTCTGTGTGTCTCCCAGCAGGGCTCGGCGGGGAGATGGGCTCCCGTGGGCTGGGACTCGCGCTGGCGTGCTGTCTGCTGCTGGCCTTCACCTGTGGCCTGGTGCTGGGCCGCGTGCCGCGTGGGCAGGAGGAACAGCAGGAGCAGGAGGGAACCAAGGAGCCGCCGCTGGACCACACTGAGAGGTGAGGCTGTGATGTGTGGATGCAGGAGCTCTGGCTCGGCGGGGTTGAGCCTGGGGTCCGGGGTGTGCCGGGGGGGCTAGTTTGTGGTTACAGGAAAAGGGGCAGAGGCTGAGGCTGGGGGCTGGTGCTGGGGGACAGAGGCGCCATTTCCCCTTTCAGTGACCCGGGTGCCTTATCTGAAACCGAGGACAGTCACCCCGCCTCATTCCAACCCCAGAGGAATGTGGGTCTGCTTGAGGTTTGACAGACACATCCTTAAAAACAGAGAATGCCAAAGCCCCAAGCCCAGCCCTCGGGTTCCTTGTGTTCTGCTTTGTCCTCTGAGGGTATCTGCTGGGCTTCTCAGCACCGCCAGGAAGAGGAGAAGGGGCGATGCCAGGCAGAGAGCTGGTCTCCACACCAGCTGACGTCTGATCCAGTTACACAGTGGGTGACTAGGCTGATGACTGGCACAGAAGTGGTGGCTTTCCTTGAAAAGCTACGAACTCCTTCTGAGCGGCGCTGTTGTCATAGTACGCCCTACTATGTGTGCTGTGCAGACTTCACGTGGGATGTTTCGCAAGGATACACAGAATGGTCAGGATTACTCGTGACAACGTCATTCATCAGACGCGAGGTCCTAGACACCTGGGGGACCGCCCCATGCTGCTTTGAGTTCTTCACCACTTTGTGCTTTGGGCTGACCTGCTCCCCAAGGCTTCAGGCCATCTAATGGGATTGCACAGGATTTGGGGCAAAGTGACATCATCCTTCTCTGTCTCCTCCTCCTCCTCGTCCTCCTTTTCATTCAATCAACATTGATCAAGTGCCACGACTAGTCTGGCCATCCACTAGGCACTGGGGACACACACATGTATGACACAGTCCCTGGCCTCCAGGAACTCCAAGGCTGCGGGGGGACAGACACACATGACTCAGTGCCGTGAGGAAGGCTCTGCAGTACAGGTGTGTCCACAACACGGACGTGGCGGGGGTGGGGGAGGGGAACCTAAGTGGAGGAGTGACTGCGTCTTGCAGGACACCTGGGGAGCATCCCAGGAACGGAAGGAGGGGAAGGCCACCTGGCCGCCAGGACGGCACGTGTGAGATGTGGCTATTTTAGCATCTGGCAGTGTAAGGGCTGCTGGGTCGTTTGGGGTCATGGGGGCTGATGCTAGAGGGTGGAGGATGGGGGGGGGAGCTGAGCCTGATGTGGAAGGGTCTCTCCTGAACTAGATCCCATAGAGGAGTCATGGAGAGGTTTAAATTTCATGGTGCTCTACAAGGAACCCTGGAGGGAGGCAGGGCAGAGGAAGAACTGTGGGAGAGATGAATTCTAGGAGAGCATTCAAGTGGTAGTGGAGGGGGAGGATGTACCTCAGTGGTAGAGCACGTGCTGAGCATGCAGGAGGTCCCAGGTTCAATCCCCAGCACTGCCATTAAAAATAAAAAAATATATATTTTAAAAGGCAGTGGTCCCCAGAGGTGAGGAGAGCCGAGGGCCCAGCTCCTGGAGGCACTTTTGTAGCGGGATGGGGCTGACTCCTCAGGACTCCGTGATCCTCAGAATGCAGTGGTGAGGCCAGAGAGGCGTCTCGAATGAGGCTGAGGGTTCCATCCTGGGTGACTGGTGATTATGTGATGCTGGGAACAGGGTTTGGAAAGAGAAGATTCTAGGGGCAAGTGGCAGGTTCTAGAGGCATATGACATCTCTCACGTAGGGCTCACTGAATCTC